CATCAATTTTTTTCCTCTTAGATTTGTATCTATTTTCTTTACTAATTGATTTAAATATTGAATAAATGCATTACTACGAACAACTTCATTATCTAAATGTTCATTTCTTAATTTTTCTGCTGAATTTGCATGACCAATATATGTTCGATATTGTTTAATAGCATTATCAGTTAAAAATATTTTCATGCATTAAACATCTATTGATGTACCTTTTTCATATTCTTCTAAAAGATGTTTACTTTCGAATACAATCAGAATAGATGTGTTTAATATTATCTTGATTTAATAAACTATTTAAACGTTACAACTGATCAAGTTGAAATTTTACTAAAAGATAATCGTAACGTATAGCTGATATATTACTTAATTTATAATTTCCAATTTGTTCGTTTATGTATCGTCTTGTTTTATTTTAGCAAAAAATTAGGCAAATAATGATTTGAAAAAGTCCGTCAGTAACGGATTTTTTTCTCATCTTACACACACCGAAAATTGCCTATAATTAACACACGAAGAGGAAAGCGAGAAAAGAAGAAAAATACGTAAGTCGGTTCATCTACATATGGAAAAAGCATGTGCAAGTAATCAGACACAAAAGATTATAGTAGACCACTTTTTCTGTTTTGTCTTATATCCAGTGATCATGTGAGTTCTATATGGTGTAGTCAGCTCAGTTTATGCGCTCAACACTTAGTATGAGTTGAGAAAGAACCAAAAACAATAGGAGAGAGACAGTAGCATGCAGAGCCCCGCGGGACCCGAGACGGGACAAAATCAATTCAATTCTGCGTCCCGCCAACACTTTAAAAAATTTTGATCGCCTGAAAAATCGACCAAAAGGTTTTCAAATGTTCGGAAACCCAAATGAGTTTCCAAGTCAGTCTAAGAAAACTCTTTGGAAGGTTTTCGAGTGGAAAAAAGAGTTTTTAAAGACTCGAAAACTCTTAGAGTCTCCGATAGTATCGAACTCCGAAACCGAAAACGGTTTTCAAATCTCAAAAACAAATTCCTTTCCTTGGAAAACCTTTTTGGTTTCTGAACTTATTACTGGCGGAAACTCTTTAGGGGTTTTCAAGTCTTCAGAAACCATTTTTTCTATTCGAAAATCTTTCAAAGATTTTTCTTAGACCGACTCTGAAACATATTTAGGTTTGCGAACATTCGAATATCTTTTTGATCCGTTTCTCAAATGACAAATATTTTAGAAATGAAAAAACCATTTCTTTTGCGATAAAAATATTATCGTATAGATGTTGCTCGGAGACAGATGAATGGTAAGACAGATACTTTACACTGAAGAAGAAAATAACTTAGAAATTCTTTGGATCTTTTTTCTACTGTATTTCAAGAAGGAAGAGTTACGTTTATATAACCAGATGAGACGGGATGGAGCGGGACGGGACAAAAGAGCGCGGGACTCAGGACGGGATGGGACCACTTTTTGGTCGTCCCTTGGAGCTCTGGTAGCATGAATGTGAGAGAACAGACGAACGATAGAACACAAAAACAACCTAATAGAAGACAGAACAAATATATATATGTCAGCGTCCATACCCGGATCCGTTCAATCTGAGATTGGCCTAGGCCAATCTCAGATTGAACGTACAATTTTCAGGCGAATCTTAGATTGACCTAGGCCAATCCGAGATTGGACGTATACCCAAGTATGGACGCTGACATATATATGTTGTAGGCAAAGGATGTTGGATTCACTGCAGTTCTTTGCGCTGATTCCAAATATATTATTTGTTTTATTCAGGAATCGAGTTATGATGAGAAAAATGATACAACTTTGATATTTCTTATTTGTATAAAGGAACAAATTTGATCATTTCATCCAAATCTAATCAATTTTATAATGATTCTGGAGAAATCTAATGTCTAATCTATTCAACTGGAATCAACTTTAGCTAATTTTAGACTATTGTAAGACTAAGTCTATACCAATTCCAATTCCAATCAATTCTGATCAATTCCAGGAATTAGAATTGGTGTACCCCTACTTAGATGGACTCATTAGATATACGAATATATGGAAACTATGGATAAAATTGTCAAGTAAAACAATCTCAACAACATCGTTTGTTCTCAAACAAAAATATTCGACACATAAACTTTTATTATTCATTACAAATTTAAATTCATTTTTTTAGTATAAATATAAAAAACGATTGATTGATGATGCATTTCTATGTCAGTGAGAAGTATCGTCGATAAACTTTTAATAATCGATACATAGTACCTAACGCATTATGAAAGAAACTTTACTTGATGTTTCAAAATAATTATATGTTAGAATCTTTCGTGAATATTTCTTTGATTGATGTCTTCTATTGACTGGTATAAAATATCAATAGTTTTGTATTTAAAACTTTTCGGTTTTACATAAACTTTTTACAGACCTCTTCAAAAAGAAGTAAAAAGTGTTAGAGACTTCATTGTTGCGTCAAACGAAAACTTGGAAGCCTTCAATTCAGAGCTTATGGTCGCGGAAAAATCATGTTCGGAATAATTTTTCCATGGGGCGACAGGGATATTTAAGAATTAAAGTAGCTGTTTTGAAACAAATACAAGATATTGTTCAAAACATAAATGAAAATTTTACTCAAATTTTATTCATGCCTCACGATTGAAGATCTTAGTATTAGTTGTCACTCCTGCAAGTTTCATCCTGATCGGTCTAACTCTTGCCTTACTATAGTGCATAGCCAGACAGGCATCTTGACCACCGAGGATGAGGACCGAAAGTGCTTTCTTTTCTTGCAGGAGTGACTACTAATACTAAGATCTTCAATCGCTGAAAGTTCACTACAATTTCTAACAGAGCCGATTTCCAATCAAAACGTCCCCCGTCCTTTAGTTTTTTTCCAGTATTTTTTTTCAAACTAATCTCTTTTCATCTGAACTTCTTCTAATGTATTTGGAGGTGCATCACCTATTAAAATAACTTATGTAATAGTTTCTCTTTCATTTTCTTTATTCGCATGCCATAAACCAATTTCAATTGCTTCATTCTGCCATCCTCCATCAACATCAGTTGTATTCATAAAAGAACGTAAATTATTTGGTTTACTTTCCCAAGGAGAACTTTGAAGAAGTTTATCATGAGAACTATTATAATTTCGATAGACAGCAAATTGAATTTGAACTGAATCTGATTTCATTTTATGATCATTTAAAATTTCTGATGCACGTTCAAACATAATATCTACTGTATTTTTACATTTATGTAATAAATGACTCATAGAAACTGTTGCATCCATAAGACAAACAGTTCGTGATTGTAATTTTCTTTCTGCTTCTCGATTTTCCTCAATTAAAAATTTTCTAATTTCATCAAGATTTTCCAAAAGAAGATTAGACAAAAATTTTTGTGAAATAAGATGTTTTTGTTTAGCTTGTTCAACATATTTCTTATTTTCTTCATATTGAACTTTAAATAATTCAGTACGTTTATCATCTAGAAGATCATAAAGTGTATGATAGGTCTTTGAAAGATGAATAGTATCAGCAATAATATTAATATCACGAGCTATGAAACTTTTACCTTTTAAAATATGACCAATATGTGTTTGATCGATGTGAAATTTCTCTAGATCCTGTTCATGTAAAATCATACTATAAGATCCTTGATCACCTTGTCCAGCAGTTCTACCTTTGATTTGTTTTTCTTCGGAAAATTTTTCTAAAAGAAATGTTTGAATAACATGTGTTCACTACAATTTCAGTGAAAAGAAAGCACTTTCGGTCCTCATCCTCGGTGGTCAAGATGCCTGTCTGGCTATGCACCGTAGTACGGCAAGAGTTAGACTGATCAGGATGAAACTTGCAGGAGTGACTACTAATACCACCAATCGCCGAAGGTTTCAGATTAATCTCACTAGAATTTCTAATAGGGCCGATTTCCTATCAAAGCGTCCCCCGACCTTTGCTGAAGCAACTAATTATGAAAAAGAATTAGATAAATTAGTAGAAAATAACATTCCAGTACATGCTTTTTATGTAGAAATACGAGTAAAAGAAAAATTTTAAGAAACTACTAGAAAAACAGGCGGACGATGCGAAATGTTAGATATTAATTCAACTGTAGGATCGGATATGTTAACAGATTTAGTGACTGAAGAAATTTAAAATAATATTGGAGGACAAACTAAAGGAAAAGATCTTGTTAGAGCATACAGAAAAAAATTTCCAAAAAGTTATATCAGTATTGGAGGGTTAAGTGCTTAAATAGATAATGCACAGTGTGCATTTTTCCATAGGCCAGGCGGACATTCGCTACAGAAGCAGTCCGAAAGTCGATAAACACCTTTTTATAGGGTTTCAGATATGCTCTTTCCAATGGTGTGCTTTACAAAATTCCAAGAGACTTTCATCTGGGTTCTCCAGAGACCGGCTCTCTAGAAAACCCACACATAAGTACTCTGGAACTTTGTAAAGCACGCCGTTGGATAGAGCATATCTGAAAACCTGTAAAAAAGCGTGTATAGACTTTCGGACTGCTTCTATAGCAAATATCAAAATCTTTAGCCAAAATTGTCACGCTATGTTTCGACCCTTGCGTTCCGTTAGATCCAACAAGTTTTTGCTAAAAAAGAATCTACTAATCGCACATCATTCGATACAATTTCTTGTTCTGATTCCGAATATGTAGTTTTTGTTGAATGAAAACGTTTCCGAACTGAGAAAAATCGAAAATACCTGAAAAACTCAGGTTGTTTGGAAAACCCGCTGTATGCTTCAGAAACATTTGCGCATTTTTGCGCATTCACCGTAGATGCAGGGATATAGGAGAACATTCTATGAAAGTTTGGTTAAGTTTGGACCTTTGCTAACTTTCGCGCGCTCACTTTACTAAACTTAGCCCTTCGGAAAATCGTTAGAGAAAATTTTCTTTTAATTTTCTCAGCTATCGTAAGTCTAATTTAAAATTTTCTTTTTACTGATCTATAGCTGATGCCATGCAGATTTAGAATATATCTCGTTTTTTATTACAGCTTCATTGACTGCTGTGAAAATTTCATTTTTTTCACTTATAGTACTATTTCAGGCTAATTTTTAATTAGCTGTTTTCCCGCGATACATAAGTTTTGTAACAAAATTTGTTGTGTCATCAAATAGAGCATCACTTGAAGTATATTAATCATTATTTGAATCGTCGAAAAGTCAATTTTAACTTTTTCACCTAATGTCCGCCTGGATGCACACTGTGTAATGACTCATCATCTAGAAACTGTCAAACAACTGTAGCAAAAGCTAAAGAAGCTTTGTTTCAGATGAGTAAAAATAAAATTCATTTTTACAAAATAATTTAGTTAATCAAAATGAAAGGAAGATTATTTTTTTTGAAATGAACCTTTTTTAAAGTCTTAAAACGTATATAATATATATGATATATATATTATCTGATCTTCTTTACAACTGGGCATTTTCACTGGTTTATATTGTTTACGTATGATTACTCTCCACTCGCTATCTTTCTGTCCTGTATCTGTTTCTTTTTTATTCCTTGAATTACTTTTTTATATTTTACTCATCCTTTTTTTTGTTCATATATGAATATATTACATCCGAAGGTGGTGAACTTGTAATCGGATTCGTGTTTATTTCTTTATTTTATTCAATTGTAAATCAGAAAAGTAGTTTTATTTTTTTCTTCAATGTAATAATCTACTCAATTAATGCGTCTTTTTAACGATTTTTTTTATTGATCAAAAATAAATTAATATATTTCTTTCTACTGAATAAAGACGAGGAACTATAAAAATTCTTATTTAAATAATATATAGATTTAGAATAGAAATGGATAAATTGAGTACTACCATTTACATATATACGATGTCGAGATGGAAAAAAATTTATGTACAATCATTTAAATGGATGAGAATGAGGATGAGGGTGAGTGAAGCTACCGTGATCCTGATTTCGTCCCTGCTAAAGGATTCTTTAGACGGCTTTAGTAGAGTATCTGTTCAAATGAACAGTAGAAACGATCATAAACAAGATACATAACCTATTCACATTCAATTAATTCACAAGGAATTATCGAGAGGATAGGTACCCGTATGTAAGGGATGAGTCAAGCAACCGTGATCATGATTTTGTCTCTGCTAGAGGACTCTTCAGAGGGCTTTGGTAGCATACTTCTTCAAATGATCCGAAGATCACAAACAAAGTACATAACCTATTCACAATCTAATTAAAGAAAGGATCGGTACCCGTATATAAGGAGTGAGTCAAAAGTGATCTTCGGATCATTTGAACAAGTATGGTACCAAAGCTCTCTGAAGAGTCCTCTAGCAAGGACGAAATCAAGATAACGGTAGCTTGACTCAACCACCCTCGCTTAATCTTCGTAAATTAGAAGATTTCCATATCGCTCATGACTAATTAATTGGTTATAATGATTCAAAATCTACACCAAGAGGATCTCTAGCAAAGATCGTAACTTGTTGTATGAATTGCTCGATTCATTTCACTTCTAGAAACACACCGTAATCCTTTTCAAATCGATTCAATTTATTTAAAAAAACAGAGTTCAGGACTACATGAAGAGCAAGGAAAATATTAACAAAAGATGATTTCTAGTACAAATCATGAAATAACAGAAATAAAAATATTCAGCGAATTCGAGTAATGATAATAAAAAAATGTTAGAGGTAATTTATAATTTTCAAGTAAAATAACAATTGAATTTAGTACAAGAAGTCAAAAAAAAACAAAAATCGAAGATAAAAATGTATATGACAGTTTATTCTTAAAATATTCTTACGACGAATACACAATTGATCGAAAACATTTGACAAAAAATCAGTGTAATAGAGGCTTTAGTCAAGTTTCATATTTATGATAAATTTTACTTAAAATATTACTGTAACGAAAGTTTTTTATCAATCGCTTTTAGGATGTGAATGCTTTCTTGATCTTGGTGACGTATCTATCTACATATTCTTTTACTAGAGCATCTCCTTCACTCCCACCTGTTTTTCGAAAGACTCCTTCAGTAACAAAGTGTGTCAGTAATTCTGCACCTTCAGAAGAATTAATATCTAGCGATTTACATCTTCCTCCTGTCTCAAGTGCAATTTGTTTAAAAATAACTTTTGCATCATCATGAAGATAAAATGCACGAATAGGAATGCTTTTCTCTTTCAACTTCTTCATCTCCTTTGTATAATGAGTTGGATTTATGAACTTCGTTTTACCCCAATATGAATCGCCGCCAGTAGCTTTTCTATCTCTGGCTATTGCTGAACTAGTTTTAGCTGGCGCATCTCCAATTAAAATAATCTGTGAAAGTCCGTATGGTTCTTCACTTTGCTGAACTGTGTGCCATAATCCAATTTCAATTGGTTCTTCATAATCATCGCCACCACGAGCGTGAATATTAGTCATAAAAGATCTCAATTTACTTGGGTTCGTTTCCCAAGAAGAACTTTGTAGAATTCCATCTGCTTTACAGTCATAGTCTCGATAAACTGCAAATTGCATTTGAAATGCATCAGCACAAAGTTTTTTCTCCTTTAGAATAACAGAAGCACGTTCAAACATTGTACAGATAGTATCTTTGACAGCAGACAACAAACTAGCCATGGAGTCTGTTGCATCCATAAGAAGGAGTGTACGCGAGATATCTAAAGGTATATCCACTCCGCGATTCTGCTTAGTCAAAAAGCTTTTGACATTTGGCATGTTTCCTTCAGATAATGCATTCATGAATCTTATAGACTCTTCGTGGTCATGTCTGGATTGTTTTATACGAACTCCTCTTCCAGTGCATTTGCTTTCATAACGTTTGTTACGAGCCTCATCCAAAACCTTATAAAGAATAGAGCCTGTTATTTTTGGAATTTCCTTCTCCCAATCAGCGCCAAGTACCCATTCTAGCTAACACTATCTAACACTATCATTCTATATGACCCATGATCTCCTTGTCGAGCTCCTCTTCCCATTATTTGATATTCTTCAGATAGCTCTTCTGAAAAGAAGGTTTGAAGCACATGAACACCACCATTAGCTAACACTTGTTGGTTTCAACAGATGAAATCAGTTCCTCGTCCAAATATTCTAGTAAATAGAGTAACTTTGCCATTCGTTGCTGCACGTTTAATACACAGTTCTCTATCTTTTCGGGTAACTTTTTCGGTGATAATCTGTACAGTTTCTTTTGTAGATGACAGGTCGGAAGAATTATAAGATGCCATCAACTTTTCTTCCGATTCGAAAAATACAAGAATAGCATGTCCAGCATTACACATAACGTCAATCTCTCCACAAATTCTCAAAATATTCTGACTTTCTAACTGCGTATACATCATTCCTGGAATTATAATTCCGATTACTTCTCCCAAATACCGATGGCATAATAGTTTTTTTATGTACATAATAAACATTTTCCAATACATCTTTTTCTAATTTAGCAAGTGTTTCTAAAGTACCTGTAACACCGGTTATAAACCGAAATTCATGAGGCATTTCAGCATACGAGAATGTTCCACAGTTTATAATAATGCCCACGTTTGCTTCCAGACTACTCGGACTAATTTTACCTTTTTCATTCTCATAATAATATGCCCAAATAGTATCGTAACCGCGAACTACATTCTCTGCAATAGATTCACCTTCTACATAGACAATCCTATCATTTCGCACAATATATGTTGATGATCGAAACGATCGTAAAGCAGCTACCATATCTTTTATGGCTTCATCGAAAAGAAAAATCCATTTGCTGAATCGTAACGCACAATCTTGGTACACTGATAAAGCTTTGGCAGCATTCAATGTGCATAAATTTCTATTTTGCCATAATGTGTCTAACAAAGTCTTTATCAAGGAATCCTTTAAACATAGCGATGGCGTATAGGTTCCACCATAAAATTTTTCACTTAGAAAAACATCTACCTCATCGATTAACAACACTTTTAGAGGAATATACGCAGTTACTCTATCTACATCTACTACTTTTTATCATTGGTATTCTCATTCCTAAGAGTTTTACGTTCTTTTCGTATCCAATACCGAGAATACGGAAGATGGCAATAACTTGTACAACATGCGGCATCAACAGATAAGCTCGTTTTTCTTTGATGTCACGTGACGCGTTATAATGTTGAGTACATTTGAAAGTCCAAAACGCAAAACTATGTGCTAACAATTTAGGAATTCGATCTCGAAAGGACGGATCCCAGTTAATAGACTCAGAAGTTTGAGTTACTTTATAAACAAGAGTCTTCGTTTCCGTAATTAATACTTCGAGATTACGGCTCAGTCTCGGTCTTTGAATTAAATGATCCTAAAAATCTAGATATTAAACCATAATAGGTTGATCGAAAAGTCTCATACTTTTCTTTCAAGATATTCTTTATATTCTCTTTAATATCGTCTTCTATTAAATTGTCTATAACATACTTTAAATCATCTTGTTTTTGCATTTTCTCACGTCTTGTTCGCCAGTTTTGTCCAATAAAGCAGGTATGATCATGAATCAATTGAAAACTTATTTCTGTTTTCTCTAAAATCATGGTCAGTTGATCAAAATCCATTATATCCTGTTGTGTTTTATATGAGTTCACCTCTTTATCTATTTTTGCATTAATTTCAGTATCAAACATCGATAGATTTTCAGCAAAAACTTTCATTTGACATAGTAATTCGGCGACTTTGTTAACATCCGAAATTAAATCTTTTATTTGTTTACTTAGAAATGTTACGTTTTCGAGAACTTTTCCCTTCGATTTGTCTAGAAAAGACGTTTCAATATCGATTCCTTCTAGATTTATATGAGCTACAAAGGTAAAGTCGCGTTTCGCCAATTCAACTTTCGCCAATAGACATTCGCCATACTGGCGACTGGCGAATGTCCACACGACATTCGCCAGATTGACATTCGCCAGTACCCCTACGACATTCGCCAATTATGGTGAATGTCCACACGACATTCGCCAGTACCTGTCCTCAGT